GGGGGGGGGGTAACCGAATGATTTTTCTTTAGTGAAGTACCCCTCGGGTGGTACCACATAATAGCTCCCGTCTCCTCACGTCAGAGCTGCTGGAAATTTTCTGTGGCAAATAGTAACTTTAACGACGCGCAGGGTAGTGCAATGACGTGAGCTGACGGACGCTCTCATAGTGCCACGCTTTGGCTGACTTTACACGCCTATCGAGTGTCTAACCCTCTGGTCTCTCCTTCCGCCAGGTGACTACTCGCTGGAGATCTTCCCCGTGAACCTGGAGGACGACGCCCGGTACCAGTGCCAGGTGAGCCCCGGGCCCGGCGGCGAGCCCGGGGTGCGGTCCCGCTTCGCGCAGCTGACTGTGCTGGTGCCGCCCGAGCCGCCCCGCATCGTGCAGGGCGACCACCTGGAGACCACCGAGGACCGCGAGATCGAGCTCGAGTGCGAGTCTGCGGCGGGCAAGCCGGCGGCCGAGGTAAGTCACCGCCACGTCACTGTGGCAGAGCGCTGTTAAAAGTTGAGTTGGAAATTAGAAAAAAATTAAATTTGCCGAGTTAATAGTTTTTTGCGTAGAAACCAGCCAATGTTGTTGTTCGAAAAATTATTGTTTAGTAACAAATTGTGTTGTCATATTAATCAAAACAACCATGTTTCTCTGCAATCGTCATCACATAAAAAATGTTTGTTTTCAACAACAACTATTTTTCCCAGTGTGTTGTAAGTTTCCCTACCCTTTTGCAGATCACGTGGATCGACGGCGCGGGCAACGTGCTGCGAGGCGAGGACCTGCAGTCGGAGGACCCGGAGACGCGCCGCATCACGGTGCGGTCCGTGCTCAAGGTGATCCCGAAGAAGCACCACCACAACACGACCTTCACGTGCCAGGCGCAGAACCAGGCGGACCGCACCTACCGCTCGGCGCGCCTGCAGCTCTACGTCAAGTACGCGCCCAACGTGACGGTGACGGCGGCGGACAGCGGCCGCGGCCGCCACATCCCCGAGGGCTCGGACGTGCGCCTGCACTGCCACGCCGACGCCAACCCGCCCGAGGTGCGCTACCGCTGGTTCCTGGACGGCGAGCCCGTCGTGGACACGGAGGGCCAGACGGACCTGCTGCTGCGCAACGTGACCCGCCGCCACCACGACGCCATCGTCAAGTGCCAGGTCGAGAACAAGGTCGGCAAGAGCGAGGGCTCCGAGACGCTCGACGTGACCTGTGAGTATAACAAAAGACTAGGCATTTAAAAA